ACTATCTGGATAAGTATTATTAAAAGACAGATCCTTGACAATGAACAAAGGCATAAAAAGAACCCGCGTCTGGAGGCTGAAGCTGGAAAAATTCAACACAGCCAAGAGGCAACTACGTAAAAGACAAGATAATTCATCAGAGGACAAGCTTATCAGAGGGTAGGGAACTCTTCACGCCTACACGTGCTGAAGTTGTGAGCGAAGGCCCCTCTCAGATGTGACAGCTCACTGAGCACAGCAGCTGTCACGGGAGGACCAGGGACTTCCTGCTGCCCTGCTGGAGGAATGGCCCCCAGGTATTTCATAACCCACGTTATAGAAAAGGTCAGAGCAGAGGACTGCGATGCTGAGCCCAGAAGCCTTTAGGGCCTCGCTGCAGTGACTATGTATTACTGCTCCTGGGCAAAGGAGGACTTGGAAGCTACTTGATTTTCAGCTTGAAATCGTACTACTAAGCGTGATTGAAAAACATTCACATTCCATCTTTGCAACCCCCAGCTCCCAATTTTTAACTGCTTCACAGATATAATCGTATCTACCCGCACATAAGGCATCATGCTCTGTCTAACTCGGACACGTAGAATTCCCTACAGCAGAGTTGGCATTACCACATCACGTTCATCTTTCTATTGGGTTAGCCATGCTTTCTTCTGGACATGCAGGGTTGTGTTATGCCTCTTTATTCTCATGACACTTCCCAGTTGCTGCAGCCGTAGCCCGTTCGCAGCAGAAACATTCTGCAGCTGCAGCATCCCAAAATGCAAAGAGAGACTGGTAGGTTTGGTCCTTTTCTTTTTTTCTTTTCTCTCCTCCCTGTCCCTTTATGATCATTCACTCTGAAAGCAACGACCCTGAAGTGTTCAAGCCTGTCTCAAACTCCACACATGGATCAGTGAGCGCTGAGAATAGGACAATCAGCATTTAAGTTCAGTGCTCACGATGTTCTTACTGTTCAAGTAGTTATTCAAGGTATCAATAGAGCCAAACCTAACAAAGGATCCGGGCAGTTTTGGTCCTTAGCCAGACACGCTGTTGGGGGAAACCTTAAGAGCAGCCTCACCTGCAGAGGTGACAGGGCAGAAAAAGGGGGGCAGACAGCATTTTTACTCACCACACTCCGCTGCCATTGAGATGGGTGGAAGCTGAACCACCCACTCTGATCAACAGCTTCTCTCTTAAAAACCTCACCTTAGATTTACCATCCAGGAGATTATTTTAAGGGGTGGGGGAAATGGGAGGTGCAAAAGGAATTTTAAGCAATTCACAACAACATGAAAAAAATGCAACTCCTCTCAGGAAAAACATGCCGAAGAAGCAAAGGTGCTTGAGCTCTGCTCACTCAGGGACCAGCTCTGGGTACCATTTCTTCCTGCCTCAAAACAAAAACAACTGTCATCTCAGCAGAACTTGAAGGAGTACCTTCTGGCTGGAAACGTATGGGCTTTGCTGTATTAAACCCTCAGTTTGCTGTCTGCAGTTGCAGCTGCTCCTCACTCCAGGGATGCACCTGCAGTGTGAACGGTCTCTCTTCAGCCTGGCCTCTGCCAGCAAAAGAAACCCCCAAATCCTAATTTTAAACCAGGCCCGGTCTATAGTCTTTGTTTTTGCCAAGTGAGACTGAAACGGAGAGGTCTGAAGAGTGGTAATTAAGGTGGTTCTAGCAGATTTCAAACACACTCTGTAAACCATTTTATGCCATGCAGATGCAGTAATGTGTTCTAGGTGAAAAAAGCATGCAGCGCAGGGATGATTAGAGCAGATTTTGAGCAGTTAAGAAAGGGTTAGACAGAGGAGTGAGAAACATTCCCAGCTTTGTTCCGTATCCCGTACTGTTACAAGGCTTAACTAACCAAACAGACAATTAAAAAATACTTTGTGTTTCCTCCTCCTGCTTTGCAGCTGCCAGCCATTTCTCCTTCTTTCTTAATGCTGTTTGATCATTAAAGTATCGTGACCAGACAAACTTTACTCCTATTACTAAAAGTTATACAAGTCCCAGGCGTGTCTAACAGTGCCTTAAAAGAGTGTTTTACTGAGTTGACCCTTATTAATACCAACTTCTTGACTCCCTGCTGGTGAACAAGCCATGTGTAGGCAGCATCGCCACTTTAAATTCACTTTACACCACCAGAGTAGATAGTCGGGTGCTTGTGTACAGGGGAACGTGGCTCAGGGGCACTGAAACGCCACACTGGCAACCAGACTGTGGCTGCTATCAGCTGGCAGTATCAACTAAACCCTTTGTGGGGATTTTGGTTACCACCACACCTCACTATAGATGAAACGACCAGCTTTGCAGCAGGTTGGAGCTCCAAAAACATGCTTTTCCTCCCATTTTCACAGCGCTCCCCTGAAGAGGCTGTTAACCAAGGATGAGACTGCAGAGGCACTGTAGCTTGCAGCTTCCCAGTACTGCTGGGCATCCTAAGTAACAGATACAGGAACTTCCTTGCCTCACCTCCTTCTCACAGACACTATGAGAAGTGCCTTAAGCATATCATTATCATAATAATGACCCTTGTCTTTGGTACCAGCTCCTTTTCCTGACCCACAAAATAACTATTAGACCTACTAGGCAAGCATCACAGGTAACTTCTGCACAAGAATACCTTCCTGCCCAGCACTGGTGGCCAACAAGTGAATGGTTTGTGGCTGGTATCAGGTTAGAAACTAAGTTAAGCTCTACAGATTAACAGAAAGTTGGTTTTAAATGCTCTCATCGTAATGAAAAACATCAGTTTAGACTTTGAACTGATCTTGTGTTGCATTTTCACAGCACCAGGCACTGCAGGAGCGTGACCCAAGGCTGGGCTTCACAGACTATGAATACCATTATTAATAAGCAAGTGTATTTCCCCAAGCTCCGAGAAGTTTGTGAAAGTATTTGTTTTTCTCACGTCTCCCCATATACGAAGGTTTTAATAAGCTTTAACAAACATACAAGCAAACAAACCTTTAATTAAAAAAAAAAAAAGTTAAATTCCTGAGCTGCAGGCATCTAAGTAACTGACAATCCTCCAGCATCTAGGTAACAATGGAAGAGAGCATAACTGAGGTAAACAGCATGATGGCACACCCCAGCCCTGCAGACACGGCCAGCGGTGCCCGTCCCACCGCGGGCTCTGCACCAAGGCTGTTGTCCCAGCCGGGGACCTCCTCACAGCGACAAGTTACCTGCTTTTCCTTTCCATTTCCAAACAGCAGAAACAGATTCCTGCCCGTTAGAGCCGGAGAGTTTGCAACAAAGGTTCCTAATAGGGGTTTGGTGCTTAAAGCCACTCGGTTGCTGGCACGGACTGCACTGACCACTGTGATGGAAGATCAGACTGTTGGGAATACAGCAATTTTAACATGGAGTCACTCCTCTCCCTCCAATTATGGGTGCGTTGTTGTCTTTTTTGGTTTTAATTTTTGGAGTAAACATATCTCGTATGTAACCATTCATCTGCAGATTCTTCAAACACTGGTTCACACACTGTGAATGATGGTTGTTTTATTCGTTTATTAAATTGTCATTGGTACTGGTTATTTGGTGCATTCAAACCAAAATATTAAAACTGCAAGCTAAGAGAGCAGCAACACAACATATCCGTTGTAAACAATTTATTATTATTTTCTACCTCAGTTACTTACAGGAAAAAAGTCATAAAAAAGAAAAAAAGAAAAGCACAGATGGACTATTTACAAAAAATGAGAAAATTCACAATAGCCGAAATGTTTGCAAATCATGCACACTAAGACAAGTTCACAAAAGCAAAGCAATTCATAGCAAAAAAAACCCAAACAAAATAATAAGAAGCCATACAGATTAAAAAAAAGCTATTGCCTGCAGAAAAGTAAAAAGAAAACTAACCAATTATTACATCAAGCATCTTTAATGAAATGAACAGCATAGCCGTGTATTGTAGAGCCTTTGACACTGACATTTTAAACAAGTGGATTAACAAACATTAAAATGCATTACAGTTCTACTGTAAGCATGCAGTTTACTTCTCACAAACTTATAAAATGGGTAGAAACACTTAAAGAAAAACAAAATTTAAATACAATGCATGTTTTCTACCCAGAAGTCCAGAATCTGGTCTTGTTACAAGTCAAGCCCAGAGATGGAGGCATTACTACACAGGTTTATAGCTCTTCTGCGATTTGGATGGAGATTAAGAGGCACGAGACAGCCCAAGCTAGCAGGGGAATGCTCGTCCTTCTCGCCAAAATCCAAGTCATTTGCTCATGAATTGCAAGCGAAGTCTGGAAGCAGAAGCAACTGCAGGGCAAGTAAGAGCACGCTGCAGGGCCGGGGGCGGTGAGTGGCTCGGAGCTGGGCAGGGTTTGCTGCGGGAGGTGCAGTAACTGCCTAAGCCCTTGTTCCGGCGGTGTCTGGCCGTGGCTTTTGCATGATCATGGCAGCTCTAGAAAGAGCCACCAACCCAAAGTGATAGAAACAGGAGAAAACACGTGTGGGACTGCTACGCCCACAGCTGCCAGTGCCACGGGGTGCGGACACAGGGCACTCGTTCTCACTAAGCAAATGCTGCGCTGCTTATGAGCCTAGTGACAGGAGACGCTCGTCTGGCTCCAGCCTAGTTAGGATTTGGCTACTACTGACCATCTCTATGTTAAAAAGTGCCAACATCTCTCCTTGCAGCTGCTCGTAAGACCCAATCATCATTTTTGCTTCCCTGGTAAAATGATTTCTAAAAAGTTTGTGAGAAGTCATGCCTTCATAACGCCCCTAACCCCAATCCTGGTGAGTTACATTCCAAGTGGGCATTAAAAACTCATAACAAAGCAGAGGGGGAAAAAAAAAGCAAACTCAAAGCAGTGAGGGTATGGAGCCTTTAAAAAAATAAAATAAAAAGCCCAGTCAATCAAACCAGTCAGTAAAAGCAGCAATTTTTCAGTGGACATTGATATTAAACATGGACCACCCAGGCTTTTTCTGTCTCTCTCTCATTAGCACTGTAGTAAACCCCGATTAATTTGTTATGCATCTTTAAGAACTAGTTGATAAAAATTATGTCTTGTGAAATCGGCAAATAGTCTGCAAAGTGAAATAAGAACAGAAATTAATAGATTAAACTGAAAAGATAAGTCCCAGAAATGAAGAAAAAAAAAAAGTCACAGAAAGGGAGTGATTGCAATTAAAAAAGAAGGCTATGTACTGAGTTGTAACGGCCTAGAGGAAAAAAATAATGTGATGGGAGAAAATAGAGCAGTCGCCAAAGCGGCGGTGTGTGTCTCGCCCGCGGAGCAAGGGGCTGTCCCCGTGCCAACAGGAAGCAGTGGAGGATGGGGGAGAGGGGCCATGCAGGGACCCTGCCAGCAGCCCTGGCAGAAACCGAAATGCAAACAGCTGGACGGTGACATTCGTAGCCTCGTCCCACTCAGACAACTGTAAATACCAACAGGGCAGCTCAAGTCAGACGGGCCTTCAGCATTTTTCTTTAAGTTAAAAAGGTGGCGTAACCTGAGGAATCACCGATGAAGGCGCGCTGGCAGAGCCGTGCGGGATGGTGACGGCTCACAGCGCAGCTCTGCGATGACACCCGCGGGGACGGCCCTGGCCGCAGCCCGCCTGCCAGGCTGACTCTGCAGCACAGGCATCAGCCCAGAACATAACCCAGCTGCAGTCACGGGCACTGCCAGCTCTCCTCTGTAATGAACCACTGGCATAGGGCTGTACACTTCTAGGTGTGTGTGCCGACGCGTGCACGGTGGCTGCAGCACCACTGCTGCGCAGGTGCCGGCAGGCAGGAGGCAGGCAGAGCTCTTGGCCACGCTGCCTGGGATGCTCCTGCAGACATGGCCAAAGATTTTTCTTTTTGAATCATGACACTAAGCGTTTGGGCAGGACCACTTATTTAAAAGCAAATTTCAGATTCCCCTCCATCAGGTTTGCACATCTCATGCTCCAAGCCACAGTCGTACCACGGGTGCCACGCGTACTTCTGCAAGCGTCAAAACACACGAAGGGAAGGGTTGGGGCGTTCGGGCTCGTTTGAGGAGGCGGACTGTAGGCTGGAACCATGCTTAAGCTACTTGTCCTGTGGCACTAAACGCCCTTCCCCACGGACCCCTCACCGGTGCCCGGGGAAGGGGGAGCAAGGGCTACAGGAGCCCTGTGCCACAGCATGTGGATCCCACTGGCAGCGAGGGGCGGAAGGAGAGCGGGGAGAGCCACGCAGGCACCCGAGACACGGCAGGACACAACCGTGCAGAGCGGCGCTTACTTCCACTGCCGTTTCCATGGCAGGAGCAAGCAGTGCTGGCACATGCCGCCCTCAAATCCTGACCCACTCCCACAATGCTCTCTCAGACCCTGAGCTTTGCTCCCATGGTACAGGGCTCTGTACCAACACTCCTCCCTCCGAACGCCTGGCTCCAGGGAGGGGGACACCCAGTCCTGCTAGTGGGTGTCAGACCCCGTGCACTGTGCCTCCTGGCAGGGGGGTTCCCGTGCCCCGCGCCACATTTCTGGAGTCCCCAGTCATCTGAGAAAAAACACCTAACAGCTCTATTAACAATTTTGATTGCCGTTAAGGAATAAATTATCCGAGTGGGAGTGGAGCACATGACACGGGCAGAGCTTTAGGGCAGGGAAACGCAAGCAGGGTGACGGAGGCCTCTGAGCAGCCTGCCTTCACTGCCCTGCTCCCCAAGGCACAACCAGTGCCTGCGATGGGCTGCACCTGCTTTTTAGGGGTGACAATCCACTTCGGATTGTCTTCTATGTATTCAATCTGCAAGAGACTGAAAATAACTAGCAAATAACTGGAAAGCTTGTTTTGAAAAACCAGGCCCTTAATAAAAATATATATGTAATGAGGGCTAGAGTCAAACGGCGCCTCTGCTGCCAGCTAGCAGACACATTCATTTCAGACATGTTTATAATTAAAGTAATCTAAGCTTTGCTGATTTTGATCATTTAACTGATCAAAGGTGTCTCTCATGTAGCTGTCTTCATATGCATCAGCTGAGACAAGGAATTGTGAGGACACAGGAGGAAAGTGTGAGACAACAAGCAAACGCCTTCTGCAGCCTCCTCCTTCCATTCAGCTGCCAGCTCCAGTCCCTGCCAGCTTGGACCTCTGCCCGCCGGCTCCGGTGGAGCAGCCAGGCTGGCCTGGTCACCTGCCCACCCTCCCGGCCCGGCAGGCCACCCCAGCAGCTCCCCTGCCAGCCCTGACGCCCTGGTTGTTTCAGACCTGGCTTGGTTGGGAGGGTGGTAGCACGGGCGGGAAAGGGGTGGATGAGTTTCACATAGAGCCCTGGCATTTGTGAAGTATAGCAATTAAAAAACCCCAACGTATCAGTGCTGTTTGCTTTGGCGTTATGACTCCTGCGAAAACCAGCTCCACAGAAACTACCATCCCAAGGACGTTGTTCATCTTATGGGTGTTAATAACACATATGCTCCAATGCCGTGTTTCATCCTAACGACCTAGTGCTGAACACAAGGTGTGCCAGAGGTAGAGCTGAGCATCCCTCCTTATCCTCACCTGTCCTGAAGGACCCCCCTGGGAGGGTGTCTGGTTTTCCTCCAAACCCACCGGTGCTCACTACATGGGGTTTCCCAATCACTCTGAGCAAAGCTGTGCTCCCACCCCTCCCTTTCTAAGCCACGGAGGAGCGCGGCAGCGGACGGTGGGACTGCTCATGCGTGACCCCCGCGACAAGCACGCCCATGGATGTAATGCACAGCACGCCAGGGTTTCCTCGCTGCGGCGTCCCGGTGGGCTTCAGCCGTTAGTAAGCCCTACAGCCAGTGGCATTGCTTTGCTTGTTAGAGCTGCCCGGGAAACCCCAGGCTGAAAGGAAAGGTGCTGGAAGGCGGAAGGGCTTGTCATCACCCTGGCTGTGCCCTGCAGCCAGGCCACGGCACGGGGG